GAGGCAGTATCACTACGGAAGTAGGATTGCCCAACCTTCCTTCCGAGAGTAAGTGGTTAGTAGTAGGCATTTGGTGGTGCCTCCTTTGGATTGTTTTATTTCCCTCCCCAAAATGGCAGTTGTATTGAATAGTCATGGGCTTTTCTGGTTCTTGAGATGGTTTGTCTAGAAATTTGGAATATTGCTACTCCATAAAGTAGGGTGTTAAGAGGTTTGGATTGTGTTCTTTTATGCAGTTAATGTTTGAGGGGATAGAAGTTTGAGATACCCTTAGTTAATTGAAAGGATATTCTGTTGGCAAAAATGCTGAATTTTTTCAAGATGGAATAGCATTAGGGTTAAGTATGCTGGGCATGCTTATGGGAAGCAAGTACTACTGTAGGTCTGCAAACATCTTGAATCACTTCTCAAAACCAAATTTCAATTCACTTTAAATATTATATGGAATAGGAATCATAAAGGAGGGTTTGGGGGGTTTTTTTTGTTTTGCTCAGCATGGAGTAATGAGGGAATCACTATTGTAAACTTACTGTTTCAAATCAGATGTTATCAGCATTGACAAGACTGGAGAGAATTTCCGTCTGATCTATGATACCAAGGGTCGATTTGCTGTTCATCGTATTACACCTGAGGAGGCAAAGGTGAGTATTAAAGCAGGTTGGATTTTCACTTGCTGAAATTAGTTGGTGCTGTTACTGTTATTATTACTTACCACATATCTGTGAAAAGCATTATCTCGTGTTGCTAAATATGTTACTAATTGCACCGTAGCAGTCCATTGCTGGATATCTAATAATTGATCTTAAAGGTAGCATCCTTAACAGATTGTGTGCTTTCTCTTTAATGGTAGGAATGAATTCCAGTGGAACAGTGATTGCCTGCTTATCTTGTTTTAGAGGCAAGGATGTGATTTCTAGGAATGATTATGAGTGTCTGAAGTATGGGTTCTTTAAAGATGTTGGGTGCCATTGAGTTGATTCCAACTCAGTGACCCTAAGGGACCAGAAGACCAATCTTGTCCAATGTAGTTGGTCTTTTGCTATGTTTCCATATGTAAGTCTAGCTTTACTTTGGGGGGAGAGGATATTGATGGAGGAGACTAATCCTCTAGGCACTCAATTTGAGGTAACTCAAAAAAGATTACAGTCTGAGTCTTTAATCCAGTTTGTTGTGATGGTTTTACACACAAATTTAGAGCTTCTTGAATTATTGGTTATAAATGAAGGTTAATTTAATTGGGTGATTTGGCTCCTAATTTCATTTTGCTGCCTTATCATCAGCAGGCTGTAAGTCATATCCAGTGGCATTTTAATGATTTGGTTTGCTTTAAGAATATTGGAATGAAGTCCAAAATTGAAATGCTTTGTGGAATGTTTGATTGGTAATACAGTTGCTATGTGAGTCAAAACAAAGTCATGAGTAAACCCACTGCCTGCCAGTGAGTTGATTCTGACACATAGCAATCCCCATTGGGTTTCCAAGGCTATAAATCTTCATGGAAGTAGATTGCTTCATCTTCTCCCTTGGAGCAGCTGGGGGTCTGAACTGCTAGCCTTCTGTTTTGCAGCCAAATGCCTTACCCACTATGCCACTAGAGCTCCTTCAGTCATAAGTAGGGGAAGCCGCCCCTACTACCATCGAATCGGTTCAAACACAGCAACCCTGTAGGACAGAACTTTCCCCATAGGATTTCCAAGGCTGTAAATCTTTATGGAAGCAGATTTCCTCATTTTTCTCCCATGGAACAGCTGGTGGGTTCAAACCACCTCCCTTTTAGTTAATACTTAACCACTGTACTACCAGAGCTCCGCTGAGGGAGCCACTCAGAGGCATTTGTGAAGAGAGAGAAGAGTGTTTTGGAGGTAAGAATTTAGAGGGCCCTCTGGGCTTACAGAGAGCCTAGGAAAAGAAGTAGGATTTGTGTTGGAAAAGATAATTGTGACAGTGAGTAGGCCGGCCTAGAATTTGAGTGGTCCTTGTTAGAATAGTTGTTATGCCCTTTAATGCCTTGGGCTTTGGCATGGCCATGGTAAACATGGAGGCGGTGATTTAAAAAGGGCTAGTCTTAACGCTTTACTATCACTGCCTCCTAGGAGCTCTGGCGGCATAGTGGTTAAAGCATTTGGCTGCTAACCAAAAGGTGGGTGGTTTAAACCCACCAGCCTCTCTGTGGAAGAAAGATGCAGTCTGCTTCCATAAAGATTTACAGCCTTGGAAACCCCATGGGGCAGTTGTTAGAATCAACTCAGTGGTGGTAGGTTTTTGGGGTCTTTTTTAGAAAGGAGAACAGTGCAAGATGAATTTATGAAGGATGAGAATAAAAGTCGGGTATGATTAGCAGCTGATTGCATTTAGGGCAGTGATTTGTGACTTTTGAAAGAACTGTTTCATTTACTCTGGAACATGACACATGTGAGCTAGACTAAATGTGGCCAATCCTTGTATATTTCTAGTATAAGTTGTGCAAAGTAAGAAAGATCTTTGTGGGGACAAAAGGAATCCCTCATCTGGTGACCCATGATGCTCGTACCATCCGCTACCCTGATCCCCTCATCAAAGTGAATGACACCATTCAGATTGATCTGGAGACTGGAAAGATTACTGATTTCATCAAATTTGACACTGGTAAGCAACCACTGTCCTCTTAGGTATCCTCTTTGTACCACCATTTTAAGCCCAGATACAAGAGCTGCTTCTGTTGTTTTAAGCCTTCCAGTTGATTCTGATGTGCACCTCTGATTAACAATCAAAGTTAGATGTATTTTTGTTCCTGTAGCAAGGGACTGGGAAGGGGGGCAACTAAGTAACTAGAGAGCAGCGTATCTGCTATAACACCCAGGTTTTAGTATGTTTACATCAGAGGCCCAGTGCTCAGAATATTCTGGATGGCTGAGATGAGGTCTGGGATGATCAGCTGTAGATATCTCAAAAGCTCACTTATCCATTCAGAAGGCTTAAGGTCTGAGTGGGGAAGCCTGACCAAAAAGTGAGCCAGCCTAATTGTAATATGGACCTTGGTGATGCTGGCACAATCCCAGCACTTATATTAGAAATCCTTGCTAGCATTTTCAGCAGAGCACTGTGCCTTAGAGAGGGTCAGTGATAGTCTATGCCAGAGAAGATAAGGACCTGATAAGGTACTCATGGAATGGGTGGGGTGGAATTTACTTAGATATTTACTTAGAGTGAGGGACAGCTCAAATCTTAAGAGCATCCTTAGCTTGTGTAGCAGATTCATAAAAGAAAACTCACTGCCATCTAGTCGATTCTGATTTGAAACTTCATTTTAGATCTATCTAAGCTGCTTGTGGGAGCTCTGGTAGCATAGTGCCTAAGGCACTTGACTGCTAACCAGAAGGCTGGTGGTTCAAACCCACCAGCCACTCCTCCCAAGGAAAGTTGGGCAATCCTACTTCCGTAGTGATAACTGCCTCGGAAACCCAAGGAGGAAACCCAAGGAGGGGTTGCTATGAGTCGGGGCCAACTCGACGGCAAACAACAACAACAAGCTGCTTGTGATAATAACCATTGGGTGATTGACTTTGCATGGGGCAGATGATAATAGTTTCTTCTTTCTTACCTAGGTAACCTATGTATGGTGACTGGAGGTGCTAACCTGGGAAGAATTGGTGTGATCACTAACAGAGAGAGACATCCTGGCTCTTTTGATGTGGTTCATGTGAAAGATGCCAATGGCAACAGCTTTGCAACCCGACTTTCAAACATTTTTGTTATTGGCAAAGTAAATCTGTTTTTTTTTTACTTTAGTTCTGGGAAACACGTAAATTCAGTTTATTGCTGGGATTACAGTACCTGGGCTCCTGGCTCTCAGTAAAGAAAGAGAGCAAGCACACACTCACATGTGCATTTTTTGGTTACATCACTACTTAACTTTCAGTTAAATATCTATGTGCATGCTGTGCACAGTAAACTTTAAAGATATTATGAAGGGTGTTGTTCATTCACACCTGCATACATAGGAAGCAGGGTTAATAGAATGGCCTCAGCAGCTCAAGTATTGCTGAATGCTTTCACAAAGCCAGCTTTGGTTCTGTTAAATGAGATGGCAAATATAGCATGTGCCAAGGCACAATAGAATTGGTGTTTCGTAGGTTTTGATTTTCCTTATTTCTCTTCCAGGGCAACAAACCATGGATTTCTCTTCCCCGAGGAAAAGGTATCCGCCTCACTATTGCTGAAGAGAGAGACAAGAGACTGGCTGCCAAACAGAGCAGTGGATGAAATGATCTCTAGGTGATATCAATGTAAAGGTCTTTATGTAATTAAAGATAATACAACGTGGTTAAATGCCTCTTGGTGTGTGTGTGTGTGTGTGTGTGTGTGTGTTTTTGTCTGAGTTTCTTGCTAGTTTATGACATGAAAAGTAGGTTGAATTCTCAAGCTTAGATGTTCTGCGATCTCAGTCTTCCTGTGTCTCTTACAGGCTATGCTTGGAAAAAACTGGGACTGTGAAATGCAGATAATACAAGGCATAGGAGAAGGAGGTTAGTCAAGCCCAACTGTTAGAGCTGGAGAGGACCTTAGAGATCATCTCATCAGGGCAGCAGACAAATGGAACCAAGGTGAAACAGACTGAAATAAGCTGAACTTAAAAAATTGAGTTTGGTTTACTTCCTTGTGCCTCCTACAGGCTGGGCCTCACTGCCAGTCCGGGCAGCACAGCTTTGAATACTAACGTAAACAGCTAAGTCTTAAGTTGTAGTATATTAGAGTTTATAGAGCTGTCTTCGTTTTTATAATCCAAATTCTGTGTACCTTTTGGCTAAAATAGACATGAAAAGAGTGATATCTACTCCCTTCCTCCATCCGTCAATCTCTTCTATATATAGTTTTCCCCATATCAGACGTGGCATATTTCATCTTACCAGTTACTTAGGCCAAAAACTGGACACATCCTCGAGTCCTTTCCTTTTCTCACATTGCACATACCATTTTATTGGGAAGTCCTGTTGGCTCTACTTTAAAAAAATATCCAGAATCCATATTTGGAGATAGTTAATTTTTTGTATATGATAATCACACATTCTTCGGTGTAGTGGTTAAGTGCTGGGCTGCAAACCGAATGGTCATAGTTCAAACCTATCAGCTGCTCAATGGGAGAAAGATAAATGGCAGTCTGCTTCCATAAAGATTTACAGCATTAGGAACCCCATGGGGCATTTTTCTATCCTATAGGGTTGCTAAGAGTCAACAGCAATCGATCAGGGTCTTGGTTTAATCTTTCAAAGAGACATTGAAGGATTTGCTAAAGAACTGAAAGATCTGGAATCTGCTTTAAAGTCTAGTGGGTGAGGAAGTCAATGGGTGAGATTATAGAGAAACAAACTTGGCCACAATGCAATGGCTGTAAACATGACACTTCTAAGTTTAATGTGCATTTTAACATTTTCTCCATCACTTAAAACCATTGGACAAGTACTAGTTTGTGTTTGCCAATTTCTGTGGCCAATTCAAGTTACCAAGATAAAGTCAGTGAACAGGAAGTTGAGATGCACAGTAGCCTACTATTCTATAACATTTTCAACCACTCAGATAACAGGTATAAATAACCTCAAGGGCATACATAGATAAAATAATTAGAAAGTGATGAGTTTTTAGTATTTACTACATTTGTATTTAATAAAAAGCCCTGGTGGTATGGCTAAGTGCTTGGCAGCTAACTGGAAAGGTTGGTGATTCAAACTTAGCCACTCTGGGAGAAAGATGCTGCAGTCTGCTTCCATAAAGATTTACAGCCTTGGAAACCCTATTGGGCAGTTATACTCTGTCCTATAAACCAAAATCAAATTCACTGCTATCTAGCAGATTCCAACTCAGTAACCCCTCCTTGGGTTTCCGAAGCAGTATCTCTACAGAGGTAGATTGCCCAGTCTTCCAAGGAGTGGCTGGTGGTTTGAACTGCCAGCCTTCTGGGTAGCAGTCAAATGCCTTGGACACTATGCCACCAGAGCCCCATAGGATCACTATAAGAATTGACTCAATCACAATGGGTTATTTAATTTAACTGTATTTTCATTTAAAAGTTTTTAAATAAGTGGCTCAGAATATTACTGAAAATTTAACAATTGGCTCTCACTAACTGGCTTGAGCCAGTTCCAGCACACCATTGTGTGTCATGCTGCCCTGGGTCCTGTTGAGTATGCCTCCTAAGTACCCCTCACATGTCCCCTCCCTCAGCTACCTCCACTGTGGACTACTACTCTGCTTCCTTCCCAGTCTCTCCACACACAGCTCCATGAGTCAGCCTCTTAGAGCTCAGCTTGAATTCTGTCACTTCTCTTCGGAACCTCTTGTTCAAACCTGCCTGTAGAATCAAGTCCAAACCTCTTCAGCTGTCCTTGCCAGCCTTCTCTAGTGTGATCTTAAGGTACTGTCTTAGTAGAAAAACAATACAGTACCTCCCAACACCTAAGTCTCTATTCACTGTCTCAAAATCTTTCTTGAACGTCAGATCAATACAATGACCTGCCACCTGGACATCTCCATTTAGATGGTGCCCAGACACCTCATACTCAATGTGTCTCAAACAGAGATCATCATCCTCGCCCCAGGTGCTTCTATTTCTGTAGGTCCCTGATTTTCTTTTAGGCTTTCAAATTTCTTCTCAGATTCTTTGGATACTGTTTTTTCTTCCAGGAAATTTTTTGTCCTACTTTACCCTCCTTTTTGCCTTCCTCTCCTAATTTTTTTTCTGGCTGACCCATTCTTCAGGTCTCAGCTGAGATATTGCTGCTTCTGAGAAACCTCGGGAAAAGTTAGGGGCCCACAACACACCATTTCGCTCTTCTTCCCTGTGGTAGTTATGTTTGTCAACTTGGCTGGGCCTGGTTGAGTGGCTGGGCAGCTGGTGGTAGTTATTCCCCATGATGAGACTGGCAATCAGCTCCATGGTGGGATCTACCACAAGCATCTGAGTAGTTACCTTTGGGATGTGGTCTGTCTGCTTCCTGTGTTTAAGGAGAAGCCTTGGGAATGGTCTCTAGAGTATGGCACGCTTGTACCCTGCATATAGCTGTGTTGTTGCTCAGCAGCCTGCTATGCTCTACCGATCTTGGGACTTACAATGGGCTTAAGTTAATGACGTGCTGTGTGGTTTGGTAATATCGGGACTGTGTCTTTTTACTTGTCAACCTTGGGGCTTCTCAGCCACAGCAGCCAGCAGCTGTCTGAGTGAAGAAACACCTCTAGCTCCAGTGGACCGGGAGCAGGAGGAGCTGGACCCTAAGGTTGAGGGGCTCTCACCCAGCCCCTAGAGCCTGGCACTTTGAACTTGGACTTGGACTTAAAGCCTTCAAATTGTAAGAATAAACTCCTGTTTGTTAAGGCCACCCACATTTGTGGTATATTCTTGTCAGAGCGGTACTAGGTAACCAGAACATTCCCATTATAGAATTTACCACAACTGTATTGAAATTGTCTATTTAATTGTCTCCCTTAGGAGACTGTGAAGTCCATAAGTCCTATCTTGTTCACTTCTCTATCCCTAGCACCTATCCCATCTGTCTGGTTTCCTCACTGTTGCCTAAGTACACCTTATACTTTCTCACTTAAAAAAAAAAAAAAAAAATCCATAGTTTTTGTTGTGCTTAAGGGGAACAAGTTTGGAAAATGTCATCTGAAATTGGAACTAACAGAATCAACATTGAATAAATTAGATCAGCTATTCTGTAAAGTAAGTCACTTTAAAGGTTGGTTTGTAAATGTAACGAGACAGGTACTTCTCAGGTCTCTGTGGTGACCAATATGTTGCCACAAGCTGGAAATCTGCCAAATACAAAGAAAGCAATAATAGTTGTTACCTGATTGCTAGAGATAATGCTGGATAAGCAGAAGGGTCTTTGTCTGCATGGGGTCTTGGAAAGTGTTGAGCTAAAGAGCAACACATGTTGTTGATCATCATTAAATTGTACATGTAGCTCTTTGCCGTTTACAAAGCACATCCATGTGTTACTTCAGTGAATCTTCATAATGACCCTTTAAAGTGGGGCTTAGTCACCATTTTACAGATAAAATGAATTGACTTGCCCCAGATCCCCCAGATAATAAGGGGCAGAGCTAGTGCTCTGTTCTTGACTAACCTCACACCTTTACTAAGCCCACAGGGAGTACAGGGTAATGAACTCAATGAAAGAAGTACCTCTATAAAGATAAACTTTTTACATACACAATACTGCGTTGTCAGTGATGACAAATGTTAATCTACAAGGAAAAATACCCATGACCATGTATAAGGTTGGCAGATGATATTTCTACATACGTATTTGTATGTGCTGTAAGAATATTCAAATATATAATAAGAGCTAATAAGGGGTAAAGTTACGATAACTTCTTGGCCACTGCCAACCACCCTGAGGGAACGAGTCAGTGGACCATGGGCTCAGGACCATGGTCACAGGGAACATCAAGCTCAATTGGCATAACATACAACACAAAAACATTGTTTTATGTACTGCTTTGGTGAGCAGCGACTGGAGTCTTAAAACTTTGTGAGTGGGGCCATCTAGGTGCAACATGGGTCTCTCTCCATCCAGAGCAAAGAAGAATGAAGAAAACCAAAGACCATGGAAATAATTAGTCCAAGAGACTAGTGGACCATGTGATCCTCAACCTACATGACCATGAGACCAGAAGAACTAGATGGTCCTGGGCTACCACTGTCAACCATTTGGAAAAGGATCAGTGCAAGAGATCCTGGATAGAGTAGAAAAAAATGTGTTACAGAACTCAAAATCATAAAAAAAAAAAACAGGCTTAGTGGTCTGAGAGACTGGTGAGACCCTTGAGACTATGCCCCCTAGTTACCCTTCAGGTCTGGAATTGAACTCACTCCTGTGGCTTCCAGCCAAACAATAGACAGGTATGTAGGATGAACATTTACGTCAGGTATACACACCTTAGAGCAATTAATCAATCGAGGGAGAACAGAAGGGCAGTGCTTGCACAGGGAGATAGCTGGGGCGGGGAGCAGGACCGCATAGGCAAGGACACAGGAAAGAGGTAACTACAGGGAGGAAGTGGGAATAGAGCCATTACATTGTGGGGAATTGCAATCAATGTCATGAAAAAAAAAAAAAGTATGAACTGCTGTATGGAAAATAAATTTGCTCTGTAAACTTTCACCCAAATCACGATTTAAAAAAGGTACCTCTAGGGTAGAGACAGACAGTAGACCCAGTAGTCTACCCACCTGCTTTTGCAGAGTCTGATTCTGCACTCAGCAG